TGTGGTGCAGGCAGGGTTGTGGTGCAGGCAGGGTTGTGGTGCAGGCAGGGCTGTGGTGCAGGCAGGGCTGTGGTGCAGGCAGGGTTGATGTTCAGGGAGGCTGCCCTGCAGGGAACCCTCCTAGTAAAGTTAGGTTCTTTGGAATTTGGTGTTTGGCTGTGAGTCCATCACATCTGACAATTTTCCCTGGCATGACCTCACATTCTGAAGAGATATATGTCCTTAGAGATGTGGTTTACATCTTAGCAGTAGAAAAATCATCACTTTCACTTTTTTCAGAGTCTTTTGAAAAAAAGACTTTGTGTGTGTGTGTGTGTGTGTGTGTGTGTGTTTATGTATGCAGGTGACTGCTGGGACCAAGAGAAGTAGTCAGATCCCCAAGAGAGCTAGAGTTACAGACAGTTTTGAGCTACCCAGTTTGGGTGCTTGGGATCTTGGAATTGAACCTGAGTCCTCTGGAAGAGCATCAAGCATTCTTAACCACTGTGCTGCCTTTTCCAGCCCTTCAATAAGAAATTTTAAATTGGGATCAATGAATGGTTGTTTTATATTTGGACCATTTAATTCATGGATAGATTCTGCTGAACAGCCAGTCCAAGTTCCATCATATATGCATGTTGAGAAGAAAAAGAGACAGAGAGCACAGTCTCTGCAGTGTGTGCCTCAGTTGGCATCCTCCGGCCCTGTGCCTGCACAGATCAGTAACTGGAGAGAGCCAGGGTATACAGGAGACAAGCCCGTAGTATTAGCAAAAGCCAAGGAAGTCCCTTATGAAACCTCTTCTGAATCTTTCTGTCACAAGTAGTGTGTGTGGGTGGGTGGGTGGGGGGGAAGACAGCTACAACGAGGACGCTCACATTCAACCATCAATGGGAGTAACACTTAAGTTTCCTTTTATTTAGTCTTCAGCAATTACTGAAGGACTCTGGCTATATGCTTATAAATATTATGATTCTGGGAGAAGATGCAAAATAGGTAATTTACATAAGAGTGTGTTTTCAGCGTGGAGTTATTGTGTCAAGAAATCAGGTGTTTTTTAAAAGAAGCCGATGGGTGTAGATGTAGTTTCTTATGACACTATCTCTGTGTTTACAGGCCCCAAAGCTAAGAGCAGTCTTCCGTGAATGCATTCACAATTTCCAAGGAGGCAGTAGCCCTGCTTGCTCTTCTAGGGGCTTTGAAGAGTGGGCTGGGCAGGAGAGGAAAACATGTGTGCTATCATTTTGATTTAACCTAACCGGTTTCCTCTCCTTTTGCAGAAACCCTGCCTCACAGCAATGGCGGAAATGCCAACAGCCACTACTTCACCAATCCCAGTTATCACACACTTAGCCAGTGTGCCACATCCCCTCATGTGAACAACAGGGACAGGATGACCATTGCAAAGGTGAGAGAAAATGCCTCAGGAATCGGAATGTGGGGAGGGGAGAGAACGAGGCACACATTCTCGCCACTGTGGCTCTAGATACTTCCTGTGTCTTGCTCACTTGACTCCTCCTAAACTGCCCTCTGAGTGTGGCTGAGCATCCCCAGAGGACTCATCTCTAAGGAACCATGGCTTCCAGTCCCTTCCACTGCTGCTGTGTGGTTAAGGTCTCGCTAGCAACAATCCACACTGCTTATCTTCCGTCTGGGATAGTGTACCTCTTCTTACATGAGATGAAAACGATATCTCATGATTATGTCAATATAAACATAAAGGCCTATTGTGAAATCATAGTATCTTCTCTGACCACCTGTTCCTCTGTGTCCTCCCAGAATGCTCTGAGTTCCAAACGTACCTTTCCACTGTGCCCAGTCTCCATTGTCTGGCTCACCATTGTCCAGATTTCTATTAGGGAAAGAAAGAACAGAACAAAAGAAAGGGAATATCAAGTTAATTCATTTAATCCTTTCCACAGCGGCACCTCAGAGTTATAAATAGCACTTCACCCTCCCAAATACCGTGTTCGCCATCCCCCTAGGTCTCAGACAGGGTGTTATGGTCATGTTTATGCCCACTGGAATGGTCAAGGCACTGGGGACTCACAGCATCATGGAGGCTTTCATAGAACTTACACCCACAATTCTTTTCTTCAATTTAAAATTCTTTGTTTATGATTTGAAGTGAAGTCTAATTGGCAAAAGGTTACAGTGTGAAACGAAGACCTCCAGGTCTTGGGGGCGGGGGTGGGGGAAATCTGGACATGCACTCTGCGTGCTAGGGATGAGGTACCTCACCTATTCTCAGCCTGAATTGAGGGGAGGACCTTGCCATGAATTCTGAACTTACTTTCCTTCAGTGTGTTCTCTTCTTAAATCTTCTTGTTTGTTTGCTCTTTTTTTTTCGTAGTCAAAAAACAACCAACTGTTCGTGAATCTTAAAAACGTGAACCCGGGGAAGAGAGGTGCGTTGGTGGACTGCACCGGTACGTTGCCAGCTGACTGGAAGCAAGGAGGCTACCTCAATGAGCTCGGTGAGGCCCATGAGCGGAGCGCATGCGCATACTTGACAGTCTAAGTGTTCATTCTTGTGTGTGTGCTCTAATAGCCATCCACCAGAAACAGGCACCCAACCCAAATAATGAATTAAGTCTAACGCCTCCATAGGGCTTACTAGTAGCCCTAACAACTTATTTGTTTAACAAACACCATTGGGGTACCACTTTGCTCCAGGACTTCTAGAAAAGCATCTCTGCCTCCTAGGAGCGTCTTCCACATTAACTCAGCTCTCACCAGCTCTGAGAGGGGGACCCCAGCACCATGTGACAGCTGAACAAACAAACCATAAAGAGCTGGAGTTACTTCCACAAAGCCCGGTGCACTGTTTTAAAATCCTTTTAGAACTGACCTTGGTATGCTGTCAACTTTTGACAGGACATGATTTTGTCTGCTCTTAATATTGAATGCTGTGCGTGATATCCCTCCCCCTTTCCAGGTGAGGAAACAATTGTGAGATTAGTGATCTTCAAGTGTTTCGCAGTTGGGATCAATTTATATTCTTAAGTATTATTCAACACCCCCAGAGGGCCCCTGCTAATGTAGACTATGTCTATTTGATATTTACCATTATACAAATTAAAAATTAAGAACTTTTAAAAATAGTCATTTTAGCTAACTTGCAATAATAATAATAATCTCATTTCCTGTCACTGAGAGTATTTTATAAAACTACATTTTACACCACCCCCATCTTGCAGATTTGTAGGAAGAATAGCACTGCCTCACTGCCTTAATTTCTGTCTGGCTTAATAGTAAATAGCCAGATTCTCCTGTGGGCTCTGCAGTCGGTTGGTTGAGTAGCTCATGCTGTAGAGCTTCAGGAAAAACACACTGTTCACTTGAAAGAGAATGACAGGCAGGCAATACTGTTTTACTATTGGAAATGATGTTAATTTTGAGGACCTCTTCATCAGGAATTGTGGGTACCAGCTTCTGGAATATACTGCTGAGCACATGGTGCTGTGTAAAAATGAAAGACAAAACAACAACAAAAACTTTAGCCAAAAGCCCCTTAGGGGAGGAAAGAGTTTACTTCATCTCACAATTCTAGGTTACAGTCCCTTATAGAAGTTAGAGCAGAAACCATAGAGGAGTATTCCCCAATCCTCTCTCTCCCTCCCTTCCTCACTCTTTCCTTCTCTTCCTTCCCCCTTTATCTCTCTCCCCACTAACTTTCTTATACAATTTAGGACTACCAGACCAAGGATGGTGCTGCCCACAGTAGACTGGGTCCTCCTGCATCAAATTAGCAGTCAACACAATCTCCTGAGATACAACCATAGGTCAGTCTGATCTAAGCAGTCCCTCAGTAGAGGCCTTCCTCTAAGATGACTCTAGGCTGTGTCAAACTGACATTTAAGGCTAACCACAACAACATTTCACATATATTTGTTAAATGTTGGACTTGCCAGGAAGCCCAATGGAATGAATGCCTTAGGTAAACACAACTGTTACATGGAATAAATACTACACTTAGATGAATTTTGAAAAAAAAATCTGTCAACTGTATGGGCTAGACCCACTCGTGAATATTATCCTAAAGATGCGTAAATCAAAAAGCTCAGAGAGCAATGTCCAAACAGATAAAAGGAAAGGGGGAAAGTTGAATCTCAAGGTGGAGTGTATGACTGTCCCTTCTACCTCCTCTGTGGTCTTGCGTGTGGAATTTCCTAAGATGCAGGATGTAATCTCTATGTGCTGTGGAGGCCTCTTACTGTACAAATGTCTCAGTAGAACAGCAAGTGAAAACTAACTCTTAGTTCTAAGCTATAATAATGTTGTCAGTGGGGCTTTTGCTTCTCCAACAGTAAGATTATGTGTCAGATTTCAATACAAGTCTAAGTTACAATCTAGCCCAACAAAATATATGAATTGATAGTACTAATGGGGAAATATGTTTTGTTTTAACCTATTATAATTTGTCCTGATTTTAAACAATCATGGCCTTGATCACATCTTTGCTTTCGGACCCAGAGAGACCCTAGAGTTACTGCTGTAAACTCTTCATGAGATGCTCAGAATTTTTTTTGATTTGTTTCTCCCTAAGAGCAACTTACACAGGAGGAAAAAGGTAATTTTTCTTTAAAACACATAGGCACAATGTGGGTGGTAAAGCAGGTAGGATTAAAAAAAAAAAAAAACAATGGGAAAGTGGTTTTGTTTGTCCTTATTTGTGTGCACATATGTGTGTGAAAGGGGATGTCATAGTTGTGTCCCTAGAGGCCAGAAAAGGGTGCAAGATCCCCCACCCCAGAACTGAAGTTGGGCAGTGTATAGTGTGAGCCATTGGGTGTGAGTGTGGCGAACTGAACTTGGGTTCTCTGGAAGAGCAGCCAGGTGTCTTTCTTGACTGAGCCGTCCCTCCACCCCCGTGGAATAGTTGTTTTGATGATGTTTCAAATAGCCCTACCCTTGACAGAAAGAGCCAAGAGATTTGACTCCTGTTGTTGTATAACACTGGCCTGGAACTCTCCCTCTTGGGTTTATTTATTCATGTTTAAAATGGGGGTGGCAAGCATGGGCTGGCTTATTGTGGGAACCAGATTAAACTGAACATTTGAAAACTGCTTTCCTGAGGATCTGTACAAGCAGGAGATGTGAGGTACTCGAGTCCACCTGCTCCCTTACTAAATCAGCGCCCACACCCTCCAACAATAGGTGGGAACCTGGCTGAGTGGTCTTCCGGCTGCACTTGTCTCCTGATTTTGATCTAACCACACTGATTTCCTCTCTAATGTCTGGAGAAAGGATAAACATTGAGTCTAGACCCAGAAGGACATTTAAGAAAACTGCCTATAGTTTAGAGAGGACCAAGAGAACTTCGTAGAGTTATGTGATCACAACCCTATAGTCATGCGGCTCTCAGAGGCAGCATACCTTTCCCATCCATGGAGACTTTCCACCAAATCGGTGAAGTCCCCAAACCACTCTTGCTTTTGACACCAACTGCAAGCTCACTGGTCCAAAAGATGATAGTGTGGATTAATAATTTCAAGAATGATTCCCAGAACTCATTGAATGCCCCTGTAATCATGATTTCAGATTATTAGCAAAAGGATGTGGATTAAAACCTACCAAGGGAAGAGTTCAAGAACGGTCAGGGCATGAAGGTGACCAATGGTGTTTTCCCACTCAATTATAGCTACTTTTGACTTTTCCTAGCACAACATAAACCACTCAGTATTGCCAACTTAAGAGGGTCACCTTCCCACTCATATCCATGGTTGAGGGGCTTGTCCTATGGACATGATTAACTGCCTAAATGATTGTGCCCTTACTTATATTCTATCCCCTTATAGGCAAACTGATATGACATAACCCCCTATTTGAATTGTCCTTCTGGTCTATCTAATAAAGCTTCAACCTCGAGTCTCTAGGAAAACAAAATATTCTTACTGGGCAGAATATTGCAAGATCTTAGAAGTTGCCATTCAAGAGCTAATGGCCAGCCAAGGCCAGGCTTCTCTTTGGTAGGGTTCTGTTACGAACTATTTCATCCTGCCCCTCGATTGCAGTTCTCAACCTTTCTAATGCCATGGTCCTTTAAGATAGTTCCCCAAGTTGTGGCGACCTCCAACCATAAAATTATTTCCATTGGTACTTTATAACTAATTTTGCTACTGTTGTGAATCATAATATAAATATTCTATATGCAGATGTTCTTAGGTGACCCCTGGAAAGGGGGTTGTGACCCACAGGTTGAGAACCACTGCACTGTAGACTCCTGAGCCTTGACCAATAATGTGAGGTTGGGTTGACAACTGAGACCCAAGAAAGTGAGCTTTGGAGAAAAAAAAATATTTCCATATCTTGCCCAACAATGATTGGTATTAAACAGCTTCCTTTATGAGACTCCCTCTTTTTTTCTCCTCAAAATCCTGCTAGGGTATCATCACCTAATCCTGAATCTAAGGACATTAACAGATAAGTCTATAGGGATGGGTTAACATCCTTAAACATTCTCTTTAAGAGTTGGAAGGTTCATGACACATCATTATTCTCTGTTTTTAGCCAAGGCTTTAACATTGCTTTGAAAGATGATAAACAATGCACTGCAATGCTTACAGAAGCTTACAGGTGCTGATGGTGCTGTGACACCTTAAGTGTTACAGTAACTGAAACCCCATTTATTCATATGGTGCCACAGAGTCTGTAAGCCTTTTGAAACATGTTCTACTTCATTTAATGATGAGAACAGCTATGTAAGGCTGGAGTACAGGTTTTGGAGTCCTCATTTTAGAGAAGAGAAAACTGACACTCAGAGCTAAGGATCCACCCTAGAGTTATGCACCTATGGAGCGATGGGAGCTAAGTGCTCTGGCTCCTACCCACTGCCTTTTCTTCTCTCTTCTGACAGCTCCAGTGGGATCCTTGTTTGCTGTTCAGTACTAGCACTGCAAGGTAGCATTTGTGCGAGGTGCATTTGTGTAAGGTGGTATAGAACAGGCTAGAGAGGGACTTCTTGTCTTTGCTGCAGTGTGAATGCTATGGATTGGAGGTTACAGTCTACTGCTCTATCTAAGGTACTTACGACACCATTGTGTTCAATGTTTGCTTGCTCTCGCTGCCAACAGACTTCACATTGCCCAGTGTGAGCAGGACTATTTATTCCAAACCAAGACCCACCTCCATGAAATACAAATATTTGAAAACAAGCCAACTATTTATTTTGTCTAGGTAGACTCATCTGCAAATGTCCCCCCCCCCACCACCACCCTCTATACTGGAAAAAATCAAAATTTTCAAGTAAAAATTAATAAAAATGGTCAAGGTTCATCACTGGCTTATAAAGTATTAAGTAACTTGTGATGGAGATGATCCTATAACTGAATACTAGTTAATGTAAAACTAGTACTCAGACCCTTGAAGAAGCTGTAGAAAGTGAACTCTCAGGTCTAGTCTTGGCTATGTCCTTCATGGTATTCAGCCTTGATTCAATGGTTGCTATTCCCTTGTCATTTTGTTCCTACATGAATTCATCAGGCTTTTCCAATGTGGGTAGATGATGAGATGAACATGTATGTGCATACAGGATGCTTGGGTCTAGCCCCTGGCATGACTGCTATGTCTGTGGTAATTTGCCATGTGGACTCCTTTCCATTTACCTTCAGTTCTCACCCTTTGTCCTTCTTCACCACAGGTGCTTTTGGGCTGGACAGAAGCTACATGGGAAAGTCTTTAAAAGGTATGGTGTATATTTGAAGAAGGCTCTCAGAGATTTAAATAATTCTTAAAGTGAACAAAAGTAGAATTGTCAACATGACCTAGAACCTTCTATGTGATAAGTCGCTATGCCAAGACATGAACATGTTTGACAGACATGGAGAGAAAGACAATGGCGGATCTGTTTGGGAGCAAAGGTTCTAATTTTCTGAGGAGATATACTCACATTTTCTTTAAATTAAATGGTGTCTAGGGAAAGAGAAATGTGTAGTGGGAGATAGCTGGAATAAGAAGGGATCAGATGACCATCTAATGACCCTCTGCAATGACTCCGAGCAATACGGTATCCAGCACTGAAGTGTTACAGAGGGTTTCTATAGAACAAATGCCCCTCTCTCTGTGATAATAGAACTATCCTGTGTTTCTCAGACCATCAACTCCTGGTTTATAGATTTAAGCCTTGAATTAGTAAATTTTCTCATAGTATCAGAATAGAATTAATTGTATTTGGATGTGATCATCAAAATGAAATCAGAGCCATGCTGTTTTTCTCAGTAATCTCCTTAGAGGCGAGCTACAATTACTTTATAGATGGACAATTTTATAGCAAATTGTCTTCAGAATAAGTGGTAAGTGCACATTATTTTCAGAAAATACCATTATAGAAACTTACCCATAAAGAAAAAGAAATAATCTGCCCAAGGAAATTATCAGCAAGAAATGATGTTGCCCGTGAAACTACACTTTTTCCTTTTGTTCCATTTCTCTTCTCAGATCTGGGAAAGAACTCTGAATATAATTCAAGTACTTGCTCCCTAAGCAGCTCTGAAAACCCATATGCTACCATTAAAGACCCGCCTGCGCTCCTGCCTAAAAGCTCTGAGTGTGGCTACGTAGAGATGAAGTCACCAGCTCGGAGAGACTCCCCATATGCAGAGATCAACAACTCAACTTCAGCCAACAGGAATGTCTATGAAGTTGGTGAGTTCTCTACCCATATAAAGACCATTGGTGCAAGACTGTGTTCAAAGCAGTTCTAAAGTAGCCCATGGTTTATATCCCATTGGGTTTTACAGAGATCATATCATCTGATGTGAAATGAATGACTCAGAAAAACAATATATAGCAAATTTAAAATATTTTCCTTATCATCCACATGGCCATCATCTTTTGTTTCATCACCATGATAAATATTTTAGCACATATGTGGAGGAGCATATGCCTCATATTAGCTAATGCTCCAGGCAAGCCCAAACAAATGGCTCAAGTGGAACAAACATGTGGCTCCATTTCCATTTCCTGTATTCAATATATTAACATAATGCTTTTCATTTTAAACTTGCTTAATATGTCAGATGTACTCTCATGTGGATCTGATATAAATTAGGAGGAATTAAATATAAAATTATGCTTATTTTAAGTGCCGTCTATGGATGCCATTCGGAAAAAAATAAAACATACTGCAGCCAATGTTGACCAAAGAGTAGGTCCATATAGTTTGGTCTCTCTATCCATACATATAGAATGAAAACATCTTGATAATGAAGAAAATTAATTAAATTTATAGACAGTGATAGCATCCTTCCAACTGTTCTTTAAGCCCACCACAGTAAGATGAGTACTCAGCTCAATGTTTGAGGCCAAAGTTGTGCACATGTTTAGTATGTCCATAAATTAAGGTAACCTCTAAGAACACTTTCACTTGTAGAGTCAGGGGCATGGACTTGGTTATTCTCAAGGTGTCCTGAGACAATGATTCATATCCATAATCTCTGTTTATTCCCTTGATTTCTTCATCCTTTTCTATGAACACCATTTCTCAGTGTCTGTTTGCTCAACAACCATAGAGTTCTATTCCCTGTATGATTATTTAAGAATATTCTTTTTCAAAACTATTTCCCTATATTTTTTATAAAGTAGTTCTTTTGTGTTTGATATGTGCAAGAAATAGCAGCACCTTAAAAAAATTCCCTTGCTGATGCTTTTTTTGTTCCTGGTTATTACAGAACCTACAGTGAGTGTTGTGCAAGGAGTATTCAGCAACAGTGGTCATGTCACCCAAGACCCATACGACCTTCCAAAGAACAGTCACATCCCTTGCCATTATGACCTGCTGCCAGTAAGGGACAGTTCATCCTCCCCAAAGAGAGAGGATGGTGGTGGTGGCAGCAGCAGCAGCAGTAGCACCACCACCAGCAACAGCAGCAGCAGTGAATGACATCAAAGGACTACTGGGTGACCATTGGTACTCTTTCCGAGCCTTCAGTTCATCTCCAGTTGGCACTGCAGATGACCATGAATTATTCTAATAAGCAGTTGTTGGACATGTACCAGAAAGCTCCAAGCTGAGGCTGACACTCATCAAGGTGTGTCGTGAACACAGGGTTTGGAAGGAGAGAGCTTCATGATTTCTCATTGCTGTTAGGTTAGGAATGGCACCAATGACTTGTCTTAAGATGTTGGCCGATGAGGTGAACTTCTCAGAACCTTTCTGAGACACAGACTGGAGGAGACATTGTATTGTCACCTGGAAAACTAAAGTCTATTTGTTGTTTGTAGCATCACAGAGCCACTCCTAGGATTGTGCAGGTCACCACACATTTACCTAAGAAAAGTGAAAACCGCTAAACACATAGGAGACGAAGAATATATTCCTGAGTCCTTCTTGCATAATGTTTTTTTTCCATTTGGACTCAAGATCAGAAGAATTCTGTCAGGTGGTAGGATTGGATAGCAATGGGAGCAAATCTAAACATAAAACTTTATGTTTGTTTTTAGGATGAGAAATATACAATTAGAATTATTTTAGACATAGTATAAGTATTGTAGAAATCAAATCATAAATGTGGCATTTCTGTTTGACCTTTGGCCCACGTTAGAGTCTTGATTTCATTCAAATTGCTGTCCCATCATGCATATTTACCACTTGAGGATCATAGCTTATCAGTTATTAGTAAATAGAAAGATGCACTTGTGTTTTTCTTTTTTTTTTTTGATTGAGTGAGTGAGTGGTGAGTGGCAAAGGGTGTACATTTTATATGTAAGATGCTTAAGTTAGAGGAACCATTAGTAATACTTGCTGTAATATAGACTTAGAGGAATGTTTTCCTTAATTTTTTTCCCTACAAGTGACTGAAATGTTTTGTGCATATTTGGGGAAAGGGCACTTTTCTTATTAACTGTTGATTTAGAGAAACTATGCTTAAGCTGGCCTTTTGCATTGCTAATATGACATGCACTCATTTCCTTTTAGTTTGTATTCTCATTAAGTCGTGTATTCTGTTGTGTAGTGTCTGGATTGTTAATGCAGAATTATGATATGTCCATCGTCTCCTGAATCATTGCCATTCATCTTCTGATGAATGCAGTGATAAGAATGGATCGGTAAGAATGCATTATCTTTCTTTTGGAGGGAGGAAATGAAAACATACAAATTGAATCTATTAAAATTGGCTGTTGCTAAACTAGTATAGCAGCCATAGGTGCGTAGCTGATCACTGGAATGGAATTTTCTATTAGTCTGCAGTGGAGCTCTTTTGGGGGCATTAGTTCCCTGAGTCTTGGTTAAAGTCAGGAAGAAGGAGCAATGAGTATTACCAGTGATTTTGCTAAAGACTTTCATCAGGATCACCAATAACTGAGCATCTAAACTGGGACACTTGTAATAGTAAATGAGGGCATTACTAATAATCATCAGGCACTGGGTTTAAATATAGACTGTTCCCAGCAGACCAGAACAATTGCTTGCCTGGTGTGCACTATTGCAAACACAGTTTTACCCCAAGGCCTTTGTCTCATTGAGAACGCCAATAGGATACAACAAAGCATTGCTATACAAAAGCACACAGAAGAGAGGAAAGGCTGTGATGGTATGTAACAACCGAGCAGAATGACATGAAGACCCACGTGACAGTCTGTTGGAGTCTATTAATAATTGGCTACTACACTCATCTACTAGCAGTAGCTATAAAGTGTTGTCCTAGTCCGCCTCTGAGGTGGAGTATCTAGTCATTTTGCGTTTTACACCTGTGCCTATCATGATGGGTTCATTTGGTCAGGTAAATAGTTCTGCAAATGCACTTAGAGCAATGGCTCTTATATTATGTGGAACATTTAGAAGCAATCGATTTTTTTCCAGTAGATAAGCACTGTCTGCTCCCTAGGGAACAAGCATCGAACAGACACACGGGTTAACAACTAAAGGAGTCGTTCCTGCTAGGAGAAAGTTGAACACTTTCCCTTTTTCTGCTTAAATATCATCTCTTTTAAGCATGATGGTAAGATTGAAGTCCCCTGTGCTTATATAGAGATAGTTTTTTTGTTTTTTTGTTTGTTTGTTTGTTTGTTTGTTTTTTAAAGGTGTCTTTCCTCATTGTACTATTTGGGGGAAAATTTTTGTGAAAAGGTGAGAGGAACTTACTGGGATAAACTTACAGAGAAGGTTCCAAACAGTTGTCTTATGAAGTGGGGATGACATGCCCACAAGCTACCCTATAGAATCCTATTGATACCCATGTCCTAACACAAGCTGATCTCCTGAACCTGGATCCAAGGTAGGGTTTACCTAGAAGTTTCCTCAAGATTTTCCCAAAGTCAGAACACTTCACATTTCAGACACTGTAAAAGTCCCATGTTGTCTTTGGAGACAACGCGTAATTTTCTAGATATTTTTCTATAATTTCTCTCTGGTACCCTGCAGAAGAAAGCTCTGGATGACTTTGGTGGTACCTTGTATGGAACATCCATATGCAAATGTGGTCCTAGTCATTACTCTTCCCTTAGAAATTGATGTTTTAAAATTTTTACCATTTACTATATTTGTACAGTGTTATATCAGAACTTGCCCAGATGATAACTCATGTACTTGCTTTCATTAGAAGAATATTATATTTGTGGCTAATTCTATGACACAGAAATCTTCATAATTACTCACAGTGCTAGACAGCCATTCCCATAGAGTACGAGTAACATACAGAACTCAATGTGTTTAGCGATGTTTTTGTGGGTGTTGGCCAAGTACAGAAAAACTGACCTTAGAATTTTACAACAGAGCAGCGTAGGGTGTCATGGCCAAATCCATTAGCATAATACCTCCTGACTGTGAGAAATGCAGGCAACTTTATGAAAATATGGTTATATTTATGTCGGTGGGCCATAATAATGATCAGTCTTAGGGAACTTTTCAACCAAATATAACTCAAAGTCAAACAAAAGCAGCATAATATTAACTTGATATTAGAAATCTACAGTTCGGGGCTGGAGAGATGGCTCAGTGGTTAAGAGCAGTGACTGCACTTCCAGAGGTCCTGAGTTCAAATCCCAGCAACCACATGGTGGCTCACAACCATCTGTAATGAGATCTGACGCCCTCTTCTGGTGTGTCTGAAGACAGCTACAGTGTATTCATATATAATAAATAAATAAATCTTAAAAAAAAAAAACCAAAAAAAAAAAAAAAAGAAATCTACAGTTCAAGTAAGACAAAAATCATAACAATCAAATCTTAGGATTATGGTTTTAAAATAATCAATTTTCCATCTCTGGGTAACATATCCTTATTATTCCAAGGAAACATTGAAGGGCTATTTTGATTTTAAAGATTTACTGCCATGGACATGTACAGGGGCTTGGTGTGGAGTGGTTGCTTATGAAGCAGGGCACACTTCAAACACACAAGGCAAACTGCCCCATAGAGTCTGGTTCACCATTTTTGTCTCAGCTTTGTTTTAATATGACCAAATTGCAGTATTTCTCTATATATTTTTTAAGAAGAAAAACTCAGTGTGGTTTACTTGGTGATTGCAAACAAAAGTAATGCTTTAAGTGTTATGCTCTCTCTCTTTCCCAAAGACAATAAACCCTCTTCGGAATTAGTCTTGTTGTCATTTATACCACCAAATAGTCAATAGATGAATGCAATAAACTTTCCGATTAAAAACAGCTCTACAGTGGTATTTATTTCTTCATGTGACTCTGGTGGGGGCAAAAAAGGTTCACAATGCTACTAGAAAATTTACGCTTTGCCATATGTGGTTCTGTAGTACTTTACATGTACATTAAAAGGCATTAGCCCTTTGTTATATGTAATTGCTAATGTGTATGCTTTTCCTTTAGGTCAGTGGTTCTCAATCTTCCTGAAGCTGCGACCCTTTAACACAGTTCCTCATGTTGTGGTGACCCCCAACCATAAGATTATTTTGTGGTTACTTCATAACTATACTTTTGTGAATATTATAAATAGTAATGTAAACATTTTTAGAGACAGAGGTTTGCCAAAGGAATAATGACCCACAGATTGAGGACCACTACTTAGACTGTTATGTTTGTTTGTTTCTGAGCTGGAGTATCATGTAGGCCAGATGTCTGAGGATGACCTGAACTTCTAATGCTCCTGCCTCTACCTTCTGAGGTACGGATTAGAGACAGTCACCACCATGTCCACTTTATGTGGTGCTGAGACTCAGTCTCAGGGTTTTGACCATGATAGGCACATAGTCTACCACCTGGACTTTATCCCAAGCCCTATATTACTTGTTCTTGAAAAAAAATTTGAAGTCACATTTTATTCACTTGTGGGCTTGATTACAGTTCCAGAGGGTGAGTCCATGACCATTATGGTGGGAAGCATGGCAGCAGGTAGGCATGCATGGCCCTGCAGGCAGGAGGCAGAAAGACAGAGACTAGATCTTTTGAAACCTCAAAGTCCACCCCAGGGACACATCTTTTCAAACAAGGCCATACTTTCTCCAACAAAGGCACACCTCCTAATCCTTCTCAAACAGTTAACACTAATTGTGACCAAGCATTCAAATATATGGGACTATGGGAACTATTCCCATTCAAACCAACAACAAAAAAAAGCTCTTTCCTTGTGGGCCTGCATGCCAGGTGTAGATGACAATACAGAGAAGCCTTACAACCCTCAACAACTGTACTCAGCTAAGGGAGGTAAATCAGCTCACTAGTTATACATGACATTACTAACCTACTGAACCTTGCAAGGCCTTGGTTTCCATGTTGTAGTATATTTGGAATATTAGCACCTATTTCATGGGGCTTGTGGAGGGTTAGAAATTATCCATAGCAAGAATGTTTGCAAAGGCTGGCATGTCTAGACACCTGGTAAATGTTAGGCAGCATCACTAGTATAAAAGTAAGTAATCATATGAATGAGTTTGCAATCAGATGAATGGCAACGCTGAAAGATCAGAAATGAGCATTAAATGAATATTATAAAAGCCATCTGTTTACGTGATCATCCTGGTCTATTTTTTTTGTTCTGTCACATGATTCCACACATATTTTATTTCTAGAGAAATAATTTAAAGAAACAAGTATTATTTCATCTGGTTACAACTTGTAATCTTCCTGAGAATTTGCAGTGCATGCAGACTTAGACTCCCTTAGATTCCAAATAAGTCAAGCTTCCCAATACAGACAGATGTCAAGTCCTTGAAAGAAGGTACAGATAGGGGTAGAAAGAGAAATTTAACTGTCTGTGAACTGGTGAGGGGTGATTATGGAGGGGGTACCCAGTGAGAAACAGATAACTTGGGAGGATACAAAAAGAGAAAGGCAGGGAAGAATGTCTCTTCTGTTGCATTCACAGCAGTTATAGAAGCTATAAGTGTTGGGTTCTCTTAAGTGAGGATGGATAATTCCCAAGTTGGGTTGAGGACACCTGTCTCTACTTGAGTTTTCAAACTGAAGGGCCTTCTGCCTATGACATGGTGAAAAAAAGACTAGCCTGGCTAATGGCTATCTGTGAAGGCCACTTGTTGCACTATGCCAAGGACCAGAGCGATCCACAGATGTGATAGAATTCAATACACTATCCATATGAACAGACAGAAGATTGGTAAGGATGTTGTAGCATAGTTAGAAAGGGAAAAATGAAAGTAGGCAATTAAATGGGCCTCTACTAT